AAAGCAGATGAGATAGGACTTGTGGGGATTTGACGATTTGACCTGCGAAATCTAATGGCACGTGGGTGCGGCAAGGGAAAAATAGCGACCACTAAAAGCAGACGAGATAAGACTTGTGGGGATTTGAGCTGGGAAATCTAATGGAGCATGGGTGCGGCAGGCAACGGAAAAATAGCGACCACTAAAAGCAGATGAGATAGGATTTGTGGAGATTTGACGATTTGACTTGGGAAATCTATGGCACCCGTTGTGTCTCACCGGGGAGGCGCTTGGAACTGCTCACCCCCACAGCTTCACTGCTTAGAACGGTCTGGACGGTCAGCAGTTGCAAACGCCTCCCCGGGGAGACACAACGGAGAGGCACAACGGGAGACACAACAGGAAAATGATGTAAAATGAGAAAAAGCTGAATAGCGACCACTACAAAGCAGATGAGATAGGACTTGTGGGGGTTTGACGATTTGACTTGGGAAATCTAATGGCACATGGGTGTGGCAAGGGAAAAATAGCGACATATAGGGACCACTAAAAGCAGATGAGATAGGACTTGTGGAGATTTGATGATTTGACTTGGGAAATCTAATGGCACATGGGAAGGGAAAAATAGCGACCATTAAAAGCAGATGAGATAGGATGATTTGTGGAGATTTGACGACTTGACTTGGGAAATCTATGGCACCCGTTGTGTCTCACCGGGGAGGCGCTTGGAACTGCTCGCACCCACAGCTTCACTGCTCAGAGCGGTCTGGACGGTCAGCAGTTGCAAACGCCGCCCCGGGGAGACACAACGGAGAGACATAATGGGAGACACAGCAGGAAAATAATGTAAAATGAAAAAAGCTGAATAGCGACCATTGCAAAGCAGATGAGATAGGACTTGTGGGGATTTGACTTGGGAAATCGAGCGGCGCATGGTGCGACAAGGGAAAAATAACAACGACTAAAAGCAGATGAGGTAGGACTTGTGGGGATTTGACCTCGAAAGTCTAACTGGCACATGGGTGCAGCAAGGGAAAGCTATTGACCACTAAAAGCAGATGAGATAGGACTTGTGGGGATTTGACGATTTGACCTGGGAAATCTGATGGCACATGGGTGCAGCAAGGGAAACATAGTCACCACTAAAAGCACGTGAGATAGGACTTGTGGAGATTTGACCTGGGAAATCTAGTGGCGCATGGGTGCGGCATGGGAAAAATAACGACCACTAAAAGGCTAAAGCAGATTAGATAGGACCTGTGGGGATTTGATCTCGAAAGTCTAACTGGCACATGGGTGCAGCAAGGGAAAGCTATTGACCACTAAAAGCAGATGAGATAGGACTTGTGGGGATTTGACGATTTGACCTGGGAAATCTAATGGCACATGGGTGCAGCAAGGGAAAAGTAGTCACCACTAAAAGCAGATGAGATAGGACTTGTGGAGATTTGTCCTGGGAAATCTAGTGGCGCATGGGTGCGGCAAGGGAAAAATAACGACCATTAAAAGGCTAAAGCAGATGAGATAGGACTTGTGGGGATTTGACCTCGAAAGTCTAACTGGCACATGGGTGCAGCAAGGGAAAGCTATTGACCACTAAAAGCAGATGAGATAGGACTTGTGGGGATTTGACGATTTGACCTGGGAAATCTAATGGCACATGGGTGCAGCAAGGGAAAAACAGTCACCACTAAAAGCGGGTGAGATAGGACTTGTGGGGGTTGATCCGGGAAATCTAATGGCACATGGGTGTAACTAGGCAAAAAGATGGGCCACTGAACGCATGTGAGATAGGACTTGTTTTTCTAGAACCATTGTAATTTCCTATCTCATCAGCCCTTGCTGCTGTGACAAAACATGAAGTCCCGATCATTTATCAAGGTGTTTTTTTCAGACTTGCATTCAGGTCTCAGAGCGGGTTCAGCGCACATGAGTTGGGAGTTTTGGCAAATCCCAGGTACCAAAACTCCTAACTCATGTGGCTATCCTAGCCAATTCCCCATAAGCGCTTCAAACAGTGGACACAAGAGATAGGACTAGACCCCAGCAAGTCCTGACTCATCCGGGGCCACAAGTCCTAACTCATCAGTACCCAGTATAATATATATATATATACAGAACATATATATATATATATATGTGCCGAGCAATGTGCGTATATATGTATACATATGTTATGTATACATATCTATATATATATACAGACTATATATATATATAGATAGTTGTATAGATGTTTACCATGATATACCATGATATATTTTGATTCCTACACGTTGTGACTCATAGTGACACCATGACGCCTCGTCACTGAGCCATGGCGCCATGAGTCGCCGTGCGGCTGCTGTGGCTGCTCTTCAGCGCTTGCACCGAAGATGCGGAGCCGAGCGGCCTGGTGAAAAATGGTGAAAAGTTCGGCCATCCTGAGGAATCCTGAGGAATCCTCAGGTGATAACCATGATATACCATGGTTAATATGGACTATAACGTTGGGATTATTATACTTATACTGATGTGAATTGATGTGAATTGATGTGAATATTTGGGAGTCCAAGATCCAAAAGATCCAAGACTCCCATTTTTGGAATTTGGGGTCAAAAGTCAGCAAGTCACCACCATCACACAATCGCAAATCAGAGCAACAGACAAGATCCATACTCTTAATTTCCTTTCGAAATCTGATCAAGACTAAATGTTGCTACATTTTTGGGATCATGGCTTGGTGGCCACTCTTATTTATCTTATTTGCTCCCATCGCCCCATTCAGATTACTTTCACAAGTACATTGTTGACATTTGATCTTCAGCATGCGCTTGTCTGACGTCGAGTTCGGTAGCTAGTGTTGTAGTTTTTGGTGGAAACTACTTGATTCGCAGTTCAATATATGGGTATATATAGACATATCATATAATTATATATATATACATACAAAATTACATATTATATGTATATCATCTGTATATCTCAATATTTATCTCAATGAGTTTCCAAGGCTTGAGTCAGATCTGCCAGAGCAAGCAGGCGCGTTGGAAGCGTTGGTGGTTGAAGCCCTACAGCTCCTCGAATCAGGCGCAGGGCTTGGTGGTAAATCTTTGTTTGAAAACACCAATTGCGCTGTGACTGTCTAAGCCAATTTGAACTCCTGAATCAAAACTAGCGTGGTTCAACACAGTTGCTTCATGTTGCTTCTGGCGACTCTACCATATCAGAAAGGTATGTTTTCAACACACCTGATGTTTGATACTGGCGTGGGTGAGAAACCCAAATTTGGATGCCATGAAAACGTGATGAAAACGTGATGCTCCAAAGATAGGCTGCAACTCTGGGTCGAATTTTGGAGGCTCCTCCACAGCACGAGGCATTTTGGAGGCCAGGAAGTTGGCAGATCTCAAGAGTTCTTCGAAAGTCCAAAAGTTGTCAAAGTTGTCCTTGTTTTGTTCAAGACTCTTGTGACTCTGGGGACGAGGGCATCACAGCATTGGGCCTTGCCTGTGTGGCAAGTGCAGATGAGGTGGGACTGATGTGAGAAAGACTTGTGATCTCTTGGAGTCTTAGAGCACTCCCCTTTCAGAACATTTCAGAGATCTACTGAGTCTACTGATCTGTTTCTTCCCTTCAGGATCTACTTCAGGTATTCACCGCTGTTTCAACTGTTTAAATTCTGCGATCGGATCAGGTTGGTCTCAGCCTGGCTGTGGCCGAGACCCTGGCCGATGCTCTCTGTGCCACGGCACAGCTCTTCGCAGCCGAGGACGAGGAGTCCTCGCCGAAGGACCGAAACACAACGAGAAGCGTCATGCGAAACGAACCGCGAAAACGAAGCGCGACATAGTGGAAAAGAGCGAATCAGCAAAGGTAAAGTGTTTGAGAACTCCAGTTGAGAAGATCATGAAAGATTCAAGTTGAAGAGTCAACTGTATTTGGATCGGATTTGACTCACGTGCTTTACACAGACGTGTTTTAGATGCATATCACAATAGATCACAATAGTATCTTGGAAAGGGGTAATGCACGAACTAATGATGGTAATTCGTAGGTTCCTGCTTCAATCACACAATGACACTATTCTGGAAGGACCGGACGATTGACCGGCTGAAATTCAAGCACAGACATGCAACAGCCAGGTGACCTGGCGGCAGCTTGTGATGGGAGCATGTTGGAATGGTCGGAATAATTTAGCAGATTTGGAAGTGATTTCGAACATTTATCATCATTTATACAGAGATTTTTTAAAATAATATTCTGTGTGATATTGATGAAGTCTAGAGCGGGAGTTTGACAAACTCCGATGACTCTTGGCCTGAGCAATTTACCGATCAGTTTCGACATGTTTCGAAAGGTTTTTGGAGCCACTTGCATCGGCGATGGATGGCTTGGTGCTGGACATTTCGCAAAGCCTGGCGCGAGCAGAGGCGACGGCGTGAGCGACATGGGACAATCAGACACTATGAAAATTATGAAACTGCACCACAGCACAGCACCATGGCATTTCCGTAGGCACAGATGCATCAAGCAGGAGACCCTGAAGCACTGGAAACTTGTCAAAGTTGAGCGGAAACGATGGACATGGTGACAGTCTGAGCATATCAGAGATGCGTTTGGCAAAGTCTGGCTGGTTCAGTTGACTCTTTTAATTCTCGGGCAAAGTCGGTAGCTGTTCCGACCTTGCTACATTTGCAATGCACTAAGGAAATGCTTGGTCTTCATCAGACGCCAAACGAGACCACAGATTCACGGCGGCTTTACAAGGTCAGGACCCATGGACCATCCATGGACCATCCATGGACCATCCATGGACCATATGGCTGTGGAAATCTGTCTCCCTTGGCTTGTCATTTGCCGATTTCGGTGTGTTTTACGCGTCAAGGCCTTGACATCTGTGTGCATGTGTCTTGGACGCAACGGTGGGTGGGGAGGATATCGAGACATCCAAAAGAGCCACTGGTTGGTGCCCAAAACTTGAGGTCCGATAGCAGATCCGATAGCAGCCCAGGTGGCTTCTGGCTGTTGCTGTGCGTGGCATGGGCTACAACCACTTTTCCGCTGATGTCCTTTGGGACTTTGCAGGGGAGGACATCCGTGTTGCATGCTGGACACTGTGGTCATGTCTCAACTTTATCATCCTGGTCTGGCCTGGCCCTGTGGATCACTAATGATGATGTCAGTCGCATCGAAAAGAGCTGTGCCTCATGAATTTAGACACAACATGGCAACATGGGAGCCAAAACAGAGGTCGAATTCTGAATTTAGAAGTTTGTGCTGCCAGGATGCTTACTCCGCTGTTGTCTTTGCAAAAGGCGGGGAGAAACTCCGATCTAAAGAGTACGAACTTGTTGAAACACAGTTTGAGCTGAAGCGCAGATGCGGAGTTGTCAAGGAACGAGATGAACATCTGGATGGTGTGAGAGAACTTGTTGCTTCATTGCCGGCACTTGGCCAGGTGCTCTATGTTTTGAGCAAGCAGATTCTTCCTATGCATCTTGCTTTAACTCAGAGTTGGAGAATTAAGATGAATTAAGATGAATTTTAGGTTCTTTTTTGTGTTCCAAGATGTTCGAAGGTGTTTCACCTGCGGTTTCTTCGTTCGAGGTGGATGATCTTCCCGAACTGCGCGACGCGATCCTTGGCGCCTTGCTTGGGCTCTGTTCGCATCACGTGGCCTTCAGGCGCAAACCTGTGGAAACATCATTCACTGTAAGTTCTGTAATTTACAATATAATCAAATATAATCAATATATTTATTATACTTCCTGATTCAAACTCCCCAATGATTAAAAAGCCCCGCCCGCTTCAAGGCGGTGTTCCCTTGTTTTTCGCATCACGTGGGACATTGCGGTGACATTGTGGAGACGAGAAGAACACAAAAATGCAGTGAGTGGATCAGACATCACATGCTCGACGGAGATCTGTTTTGGAGATGAACATGAAAAATATGATGCATATCTCATCTCTAGCTGACTCTAGCTGTTTGCAGGGATTGCATAGACCCTGAAGCGAACATTGACATCGAAATTCGCAACGAGCAGCACCTTGTCTCAAGTTTAAATTGCACAAAGCATTTCCAACACATTTCCAACACATTTCATAGATTTTCATAGTTGCGGTTTCTTCTCTGGTCTCGGTATTCTCCGGATTCTCTGGTCGCTTCTGAGGTTAGCGCTGCATCAGGCACTTGTGGCAGCAGCTGCTGCGCGACAACAGCTGATGCCCTGTCTCTTGGTCACGTGGCACAAGGCATCAGCTGGGGCGCAAGGGGCTTTCGTCAAGGGTCTTTCGCATTTCATGTTTTTGAATATTCTTGAATGATTTGAAGGCCAACCGCATAACGATTTGAAGCATTGAAGTAAATTGGAACGGGACAGGTTTGTATTTTTCTGATGATTTGTGCGATCTTGTTATCTGGCGGGCCGAGGCATTCCCTTGGCGCACAGGTCTGATGGGCGACAAGCGCTTACCTGAACTCGTGAGATTCTTGCGGGACCGAAGCGAAGCAATGAGACAGCAGAAGATAGTGCCTTTTTGCACAGCTTCCGTGGTGATGAAACGTTGAAAACCAGAGTTGGAGGAATTCGGAATAAGCAAAATAAAATAGAATAAGCAACGCTGTGAACAACACTGTTAGATATTGTTAGATACTGTAAGTATTGAGCCATTGAAGCCATTATGCTTGCGAGGAGACGCTGGATTCTGGATCTTTCCCTCGATGGAGTGCCCTGGATATTTTCAGTGAAGCGTTTGAAGATTACGATTCTCTGCGGCTTTATCGGCTTTAAATAGAACAGAAACGAACAAACATATGACATATGAAGAAAATGAAGAATTTTGAAGCTCAGCGACGCAGCGACCATCCTAGGCCCGTTCTTGCAGTCCTTAGGGGAGGAAGTGGACGAATGGCGCCGCGAAGTGCGACTCTTCGCCACGGAGCTCTGGTCGTTGATGGACTTGGCACCGCCCAAACGGAGCGTCTTGAAACTCGGAGCGCTGGAAGAGACTGATGGATACTGATCACTGATGATACTTAATATACATATATATATATACTTATATGATGATACTTATATGATTCATCATATGATCTCATATGTACCGATGATGGCTGCAGTCTTCACAGTCTTCAGCATAGTATGAGTAGGTCTGTGAGATCATATGAGTATAGATATGATTGGTGTGGCATAGAGGCATAGTTCATTGGAGGACCTGACCTTTCTTGTTTCACAAGATTTCCTTTAGATTTTTTCTTCCCTTGAAGTCTGTGGCTCAGGAGAGACCTTGCTGTCTTGGCTCGGGTGGCAGCGCCGACAGAGGTTCTAACCAGTTTTCTCAGCACATCAAAACAGTTTCCTAAGCAATTCTGATAATTCTGAGTCAACAGGACAGGACAGCTGGAGGACACAGCTGAACCCTTGCAGTGACAGATAGTGACAGGTGGTGTGCTCTGCCTTGTTGCAGCACGGTTTGGCGGCAGCCAGTGGCGATGCAGTTGCTGTTGCTTCTCTGGTTGCGTTGGCAGATGCTGCGGCAGCCAGTGGCGATGCAGTTGCTGTTGCTTCTCTGGTTGCGTTGGCAGATGCTGCTGGTCACAGCCTTATCCAGTATATGACTTGTCGTTTCAATATTTGAAACATATTTTGAAACATTTTGACACCATTCAAAACAGCATACCCATCCTCCAACCCTCCGACCAATCCTCCAACCATTGTAAACATTTCGTAAATTTGGTGCTAGGCTTGCAGCCTGGAGGTGATGTCACTCGGCAACATGCCACCGTGAAAGCGACACATGTGGTCCACTGATTTACCACATCACAAGGGCATTCGCACGAAGAAAAATCTGCAAATATTCACAAGACCAGCGACAATTTCAGAATGCTTTGAATCCCAGCTACACATGCCTGTGGGGTTTCTCTCGTTAAGCATTGAGTCTGCAAGACGAACACGTTTCATCATTCCAAGTGAAATTTCCAGTCAGCTTTTTGCTAGCACCAGGTTCTTCGGATTCTGTTCATATTGATCCTCACAAAATCTGTGTAGTGACTATAACTGTGACAACCCCGACCAAGATGACCAAGACGACAAAGGTGCTCAGTGCCGTGCTGGCCCATTTGGAGGACTCACAACGTCAGCGAGTCGCTGAGATGCTGCGGTCGACAGCACCGAAGGCTGAGGCGATCATGGGAAACCGTAGAAAATTTGCTGTTTCTTTTGGACACACTTTTTGGACACACTTTGTTCCAGCTTCGTCACTTCAATCTAGTCACAATCAGTATACCACTCCCCACTCGCAGTTTCGCCAGGCATGGGCTCAGCTATTGGAGGCAGCACCGAGACATGCGATAAAACCTCGGTTTCTCCGCCAAAAAGTTTCATCCCCAAAAATGCAGTGGTTTAAAATCTGGAAAGATACGGAAACCATGGTCTTCCCGATTCAAAATGAATGTCACGGCCATGAGGTTGAGGATAGTTGGGGTATACGTTGCAACGTGTTGCAATATATGTTGCAATATGTTGCAATATGGCTATATGGTCAGTACAGGGTATATCTTTGGAGCTGGTGTGGCCAGGAAGCTCCACAAGCGACACCAGCCGAGCCGCTGCGGCAGGAGGGGAACTTGGGGTGTCACGGTGCCGTCATCTATGGTCATCTGCACAGATCTTCACAGCATTTCTGTCCGTCCATGTCCATTTTGTCCATGTTGATGCTGCTGGTTCCAGTTCTAGAACTCAGTAGAAAGATGTACTATTGAATTTTTAAAAGGCCAAAGTCTTCTCGGCTGGCCATGAAGATCTATGTGCTGATACTCGGTGCTGTGCATGCTACAAACAATGCTGACAAGTGTGTTTTTCCGAACAAGCCGCGCGTTCCATACTACTGGGATGAGAACTGCAAGCTGGGGTTGCTCAGAAACACTTCAGTTTGTCACTTTGAATCATGTCATTTTTCTTGAGAGGATTGAATTTTCTGATTATTCTATCTATCTATCTATCTATCTATCTCTCTCTCTCTATATACATATAATATATATATATATTTGAAAGCAGTGGCATCCTTTTCCTCACTCTTCCAACTGCAGGTTCTCACCGAGGCAACTCTGGCTCAGGGAAAAAGGTTAGCCGATGGGAGTCGCCTGCTGGTTGGACACAGGGGTGTCTTTGGCGTTTCCCCATTTAAACTGGTAGCGGAGCCACTACGGTGGCCGCACCAGGGGGACTGCCAAGCTCCAGGAGGAGCGGTTGGCGGAAAGCAGTGGCATGGCATCTGACTCAAAGGATGGAGGCGGAGGCCAATATAAACGGTTTTCGGGCAATGACCTGGACTCGAAAGCCTACAAGCAGTGGAAGCTTTGGGCCAAGGCCAAAATGTTGTCGATGAAGGACATGCAGAAGACTCAAAGAGGGCCCTTCGTGTACTGCCTTCTCGATGGCCTGGCACTGGAGACAGTCGAGTATGTCAAGCTCGAGCAGTTGGCTGAGGAGAACGGCGATGAAGTTCTCTGGGCAGCCTTGGATGCGAGGTTTCCTGACAAGCTTCAGCATGACCACATGGCCGAGTGTTTGAAGGAGGTCTTCCAACTTGGTCCTCGTGATGGCGAGTCAATTGCTGAATGGACGGCAAAGGTGACGGAGACATTCGCTCGTTGCCGTCGGAAGGTCAATGTGGACTTCCCTACGGAGGCTCAGGGTTGGGTGTGTCTCCACCAATCAGGGTTGTCAGAGGATCAGAGGGCCATAGTGACAGCCAAGGCCCAAGGTGATTTGAAGCTGGCAACCATAGTATCGGCCATGCGGTCGTGTTTCCCAGATTTTCGCATGAGTAGTCGTTCGGGAAGGACACGAACATCGGCAGCTTTGCTGGTCACTCCGGAGGAAGAGTCCTGGGATGAAGATAGTGGCATGCCTGCCGAGGTCACAGATGAGGCCCCGGACGCAGTGATCTTCAGTGATGTTGAGGCCTTCTTGGGCGAGCATGGAGTCGCTCTCGAAGGTCCACCTCCCCCTGGTGAAACCTATACTGAGGGCGAGACAGTCGAGATTCTCGCTGCTTCCTGGAGAGAAAAGAGAGCTGAGATTGCACGCTTGCAGCGCAGTCGAAAGTTCTCCCAAGCTGATCTGGTGAAAAAGAAGTTCGTGCGTGAGGTGAGTGATGTTCGAAAGCAAACCAAGTGCTTTCGTTGTGGTCGCACGGGCCATTGGGCTCGCAACTGTCCCAACAGAGATGCCAAGTCGGATGGCAAGGGGTCATCGTCTCATGCCTCAGGAGCGGCAGTGGTCTGGGAGGGCTCTTCGTTGCATGAGGCCCTTCTGGTGTCGTCGCCTGGCTTTGGCATCATTGATTCTGGATGTGGTCGAACACTGGTGGGACAGGAAACGCTGAACTCCTTTTTCCGCATGCTGGCTGAACGAGGAAAAGCTTGCCCTACTCTCAAGAAGGAGAACAACCTGTTCCGTTTTGGCAATGGACAAGAGGAAATGTCTGCAAAGGTGGCCCTTATCCCCATTGGAATTCATGGTCATGAGGGTTATGTCGAGGCTGCAGTGATTTCTGGAGACGCTCCTCTGTTGCTAAGTCGAACCACCATGAAGAGCTTGAAGGGAGTGGTTGACTTCTCAGCCGAGACTGTCAGCATTTTGGGGGGCGCAGCTCGACCTCTCACCACCAATGAAGCCGGCCAGTACGTCATCAATGTTATGCAATTTCCTGAGAATGAGGTCTTGGCAGCTTCTCCAGCAGCCTCGGAGACGTCGGATGTGGAGACCTATGGCCGCATCACCATGAAGCAGAACCGCAGCTTGATGCCAAATCGAGAGGCCTGGGGAAAAATGCAGTCACATTACAAGTCATGTGAAGTAGCTGAGCTTTTTTCACCTCCTCGTTTTGTTGAAGCTGTCATCAAGAAAGGTGGAACGGGTCTTTCGTTTGATATTCTACAGGGTTGGGATTTGAACAAGCCATCCACACAAAAGAAAGTAGATCGCATGGTGGATGTCCAGCGACCAAAACTGTTGGTGGCATGTCCACCATGTACTCATTGGGGCGGCTGGTATCATTTAAATCAACAGCATTTGACTCTTTTGCAGCGTCTTCACAACAAACGAGTGGCTCAGAAACAGGCCGACTTTGTGATTCAGCAAGTGAAGAAACAGATCCGACGGGGCGGTAGAGTCCTGATTGAACACCCGTGGAGCTCAGAGCTTTGGAAGTATCCTCCCATGCAGAAGCTTTTGCAACAGATGCACCTGTGCAGAGCCGATCTGTGTGCCTATGGGTTGACTGACCCAGACTCAGGACTGCCAATTCGCAAAGCAACGGGTTTAGCTGTTTCACATGCAGACATGAAACCCTTAGCAATTACAT